CGTTCTCATGAGACTGTAAACTTTAGCCGCATTTGTCGTGGAACTTGCTAATTAGCACATTATTAGGAAAAGCGATTTGCAAAGATTCATTAAAAAGAACCTTATACTCACTGCTTCTGTAGGTGAAGCTGGATCACGAATGATTCACACGAACATAGACTTGATTAGGTAGAATGGGGGGCGCTTTCCCCTCAAAAGCAAAAGAAATCCACTGCGTCTTCAGCGGCTCATTATTACACCTCCATTGCTTAGGAGACATTCTTGTCTACACCTGCTCCGGTGTCGAAACAATGGCGGACTGTTGACAGCTCAGTCAGGGTGGGTCTATGCTTAAACGCCAGTGTCAGTCAACAATCGTGGGAGTGGCCTGGGTCTGTGTGATGTCACTCTGCCAAGAATCTGTGAATGGCTTGTTCTGAGACAGTGCTTATAATTTATTGGGATTTTTATCATTATAGGGTGGTTGTGTACACTGAAAAAAATGTTTCATTCATCCAATTTAAAAAATGTAGGGTAAAGATTCACAACTTGAGCCAATGAAAAATAAATAACTTGCCCTGAAAATTTTTTTTCAGTGTACACACACTGCCAAGACACATTTTAGTTCAAACAACATATAAAAGTGAATTTTGCATCCGACGACCCCTTTAAGTACTTGAGCTTAACCGAGACTTCAGAGTTTAAGAAGCTGTGTCGACCTTGATTTATTGCAATTTTGAGGTGTTTGAGGACTGGACTAGTGCATCGTTGAGCCTACATTTAGTATGAGTAAAATACTTAAGTACTGTTAAAATCAGATACCCTAAGAATTTTACTGGGGAAAAAACCTGTGGAAAAAACCTTTGCGTTTTTGAAAATTTTCACATGCAGATGGCAACACTGTCAAAATGATACCTGCAAAAACGACTAAAAATGCTGTAATTGGCAATATCACTTTTTAAAGAAACACTACACGCCTGCGCACATATGCATTTTTCAAGTACTTGCGCATGCCTACAGACTGAACACACACTCTAAAAAATGCTGGGCTAAATACAACCCAGTGCTGGGTAAAATAGGGACAAACCCAGCAATTGGGTTGTTTTGACCCAGCGGTTGGGTTACTACCCGGAATGTTGGGTTAAACATTTAACCCAACCGCTGGGTCAAAACAGCCCAATTGCTGGGTTTGTGCATAATACACACATGCAAGATGACACTATTTTCAGAAATTAGCATTTTTGTAGTTTACACAGACAATAATGGTATCATTTTCAAAAAGTTGCACTTTCAAACCAGTTTTCAAAAGTTTGCGCTTTTGCATTTCCCCAAAATGCACTTGTGGTGTAAATGAATGGCCAAAACACAAGTTTTTAATTATTAGTTGAAAACAGTGTCGTGTAAACGCCCCCTTAGTAAGCACTAAGGCAATATAAGAGAGACATGATATGCTGTAATACACACACAGCTTTAATTTAACACAGCAAAGATTTGCATAGGATCTCATGCGACAGTATCTGCTGCAAACACTATTTGCTTGGCTGTCACTAGCTTTTGTTACACTTGGAGGCTTAAGCCTGCAGTAAACTGCCAACCTGAACAAATCCAGACCCCTGGAGAGCGCCAGTTAAGACACCCCCAAATGTACTTAATCCAGCTGTAGGCCACCAGCTCTGTCAAGGCCTGTGATGATATCAAGCGAAACATGCCCTCATCCTTCACAGGCATTCGCCGGGTTGTTTTTCTGGGACATTAATCTCTTTAAGCAGTGTTTGTTTGTAAATATATCACTGAATAAACATTATAAACACTGGAAAAACATCACCGGTCTTTTTGGCTCTTTTCTACTCTACATGCAGTACCTTATGGAGCTTCATGCAGACCCTGCATGACCCAGTCTGACCGTTGTATGGATGACTGCCAAAGAAAGCAGGTGGTAGCGGGACCTTTGATGATCAGACACTATGCATTCGTCTCATATGTAGCTGTGAACATCCATGTCCATGCCAAATATGTTGAGAGGAATAGCTGCGCTTTAAAGACACTGGAGCAAAACCTGGGAAAGAATTTTGAACAACACCGTGTAACTTCAGCAGCCATCATAGGCAATAACACACATGACTTTAAGAAACTATAAAACTAATGTTAAAAACAACTTCATGTATTTCTAATCTTCTTATTTTGCCGTAGAACTGTTTTCAACATTGATAACAATAAGAAATGTTTCTTGAGCATATTATATCATCTGCATCAGCAAAATTATTTCTGAAGGATTGCATGACACTGAGAACTTAAGTAATGATACTGAACATTTGCTTTAGTTTTTAAAATAGAAAGTATTTAAAAAATATATTTAGATGTATTATTAGATGTAATTTGCTGAATTAAACCTGAGGTCAAACAACAATAGAATGTTTAGCACTGCTTCATACTAATTTTAAACAATAGTATACTAGTATATGTGTAATAGTATAGTTATTACAAATAACTAGTATATGCATATGCCATATTTAGTGTATAGGCCTACTGTACAATATGCAGAAAGGATTATTCTAGTATTCCATACAATCATTAGTTTAGAAGACTCCATCCCCACATCAGAGGCGGCAGAGCTCACAGTAGGACAGGAACTAAAGGAGAAGTGTATTTATTTACAGGTTGGTAAAACCCACTTAGTGATGTTTACTATTTACAGTAGCCATATATACAGAAGAAAGTTAAATCAATCAGAAAATACTTACAAAACTCAAAGTGGCACATAACAGGGAAAAAACACACTAAAATAATCCTCAGGAACTTCTTGCCCTTCAATGTCTATGGTGAAGACGGTTCGAATATAACATGATAACTCTGCCTCAGGAGCGGTCTGGATAATCATTTACACCTGAATAATGACAAACTGTAGTAGTCAAACAACAGAATAAACATTACAGTTGAAATAACTGGAAGCAGCAGAAATCGGAAACCTTGAACGTCCGCTATTACGTTAAAAAGGTGGATGAGGAGACAAATGGCAACATCTTGCGTGTATGAATTGAACATAAGGTTATTTATTTAATTGAATGTTTTGTACTGACCTGCCTTCTGCGTCACATGCCTCCCGCACGCAACATACATTTGCCGCCTTGAAAACAAAGCCCGCCAAAAAACCTACCTTTAAGTATTAATACAACTGAAAGAAAACGTTTAGGAATGCAAATAACATGATTCCTGCATAAAAGATTGTACAATTAAAATAAGACTATGATTATCTCGTTAAAGCAGTTTTCATGTTAGAAAGATGCTATATAAATAAAACAGAATTACTTAAAGGGGTCATATGATGCGATTTCAAGTTTTCCTTTCTCTTTGGAGTGTTACAAGCTCTTGGTGCATAAAGAAGATCTGTAAAGTTGCAAAGACTAAAGTCTCAAATCCAAAGAGATATTCTTTATAAAAGTTAAGATTCAACCACTAGGCTCGCCCCCACATATCTATGCCAATATGTGGAAATATTAGCATAATGCCGCCCAATTGTGCACGCAAAGAAAGAAGGCGTGGTTTCAGGAAAAGCAGTAGTGTTGAGAAAAAGCACTTTATTTGGCCTTCCGGAAGTAGATGCAATTAGGAATCATTGGTTAAGATTTATTTACAACAGAACAGCACAACCCAGATGTTCGAATTTGTGCAACACATTTTATGGACGACAGTTTTTTGAACCTAGAAGAGTACAAGGCTGGCTGTGCACAAAGGCTATTTCTAAAAAATAAAAATAAATAAAAAAGGTCAATTCCGACTTTGCTATGACAATCTGGCGCGTCTGAATCAGCGACTGTAAGTATGTTTTGTTACTAGTTTACTAGGCTTCCAGTCTCATCCACGTCCAGCTATTTTTTAGATGTACAGAAACAACTAGTTTTGCTGCTTGATATTGCAAATTATTACTTAAACCATACTTGGCCACATGTCACTTCACTTCTTTTTTTTTTTTAATACTTGAGCTCTTTATTAAAGCAGAATGGATTATTAAAATCTTTCTAAAAGTGATTCTGACATTATTGTTCCTCTAGTCTATACCGTTACCATTATAGTTGTGGTGTAAACAGAATGATTTTTTAAACTTTATTGTTATATACACTGAACAAAATTCTATTATATATACAGGCAAATGGTGGTCACACCAGATACTGCCTGGTTCTCGGACCCCCCAATACAGTAAAACTGCACATTTTAGAGTGGCCTTTTATTGTGGCCAGCCTAAGGCACACCTGTGCAATAATCATGCTGTCTAATCAGCATCTTGATATGTCACACATGTGAGGTGGATGGATTATCTCGGCAAAGGAGAAGTGCTCACTAACACAGATTTAGACAGATTTGTGAACAATATTTGAGAGAAATAGGCCTTTTGTGTACATAGAAAAAGTCTTAGATCTTTGAGTTCAGCTCATGACAAATGGGGGCAAAAACAAAAGTGTTGCGTTTATAATTTTGTTCAGTGTAGTTATCATCCTTAGTGTGAACTGGCCTAAAAAATATCATCCAAATCTGGCATTTTGTAGAACAACATACTATCATATATAAACAGATCGATATTCATGACCACAACCGCAGTGCATGAGTCTTTTCTAATGTAAAATTCTTAATTGCAATGTCTTCAAGCCTTCATTTTATAAGATGATAAAGACTAATATTGTATGAACACACAGTTTCATCCGTGCAACCAACTCAACCTCATGCTGTGGATCTGAACTTTTGTTTAGTGAGGTCCTCTAAAAACAGACACATGATTTACTACCGAATCTTCAGGGTACACAAGGCCAGTCTTTTTCTTCAATGATTGCATCAGCACTATATTACAGTGGCAACCTGCCCAGCGGCCATAGCAGGCATATTTAAGCGGGATTAGAGGCAGTCACGGCACAGAGGTTGACAAATGGGCATTTAGTTAACATATTCAACTTCATATTGACTTCTGCTGTTCTACTCAACCATGTCAGAAGGCATTAAATACTACAGGAAAAGAGAAGGCAAAGTGCGTCAAAGAGCCATAACATTTTTATTATCAGTACAGGTGGCTAACGGGCACCTTACACATGTGTTACATGTACAGTAGTGTTTTCAAGTGCAAGCATGTGTGAGCTGTGTGTGTACGTCAGACGTTTGCTAGCTGATGCCACAGGCAGGAGGGCATAAAACTCTCCATCTTGTCTGCAAAAAAGCCCAGTGGTGCAAAGAGGGTGCTGAAGAACTGCAGAGACACAGAGAGAGAAAACAGTCAGATGAATCTGAATTAATAATCACAAATTAAATTAAATTAAATTTCATGCAAAATATTTAAGAAACAGACTTTTACATTTCTAAAGTAAATGGGTGTACTTTGCCAAACTTAACCACATTTTTGAGTGGAAAGAATAAATTGAAAAATCTAAAATATAAAATTGACATTCAGTATTTATAAATATATATGCAATTCAAATGTACATATTCAGGATTTTACATTTATTTATTCAGAATTAAAACTATGTTATATAACAGTCTTAATGTTAAAATCCTGAAAAAAAAAAATATATATATATATATATGGATTCACAATCATATTTTCAGATTTATTTTATAACTATATTTAGATCTATAACTGCATTTATCCAGATTTACATCCATATATTCATGATTAACATTGACATATTTAAATATATATCTGCTTATATCTATATCTATATATATATATATATATAGATAGATAGATACATATATATATATATATATATATAGACTTAAGTATATATTTGGATTTACAATTATACATTTAAATTATAACTTTGTATTTAGGATTTATTTAAAAATATTCCAATTTCATATAATTATTTCAAGTTTGGCCCTTGATAACTGTCATTTATTGAAATCTAAAGTAAACTGACATTTTCATTATTAAGAAAAACATACAGAAAAAAATTATAGTTAATAATTATTAACACTGAATATTAATTAAAATATTTAAATATTTGAGGTTTCATTTCCAATCTCTGGTAGTGACTGTACAGTAGTTTGGTGTTGTAGTACAGTAAACACCTTTTTACCAAACAACAATTTTGTGAAATTAATGAATTTCAGTCCTAAACTGGCCACTGTGAGCTGATGTTGACATGAGGAAATCTTGTCCTCATGAATGCTTGTCCAACCTGAAGAAAAAAATATGAAAGCAGTGCTTTTGCTCATCTTATCTACCTCATTCATAGACTATTCAGTGTGACTGAGCCACAAGCTGTCAGAAAGTTGCCTTTAAAATGCCTGAAGTGCTAGACATAAGTATGATCGAGTTTGTCCCTCTGGGATACTACATGGAGGTCCTGACAGACACAAACAACAGGAGAAAAAAACTCTGGATGGCAACCAACTTCAGGACTATAAAACTGGTGTGAAACAGTTCCTTTGAAAAACACTGAAACCTCCATGATTCAATCCACCATAAACAAGCCTCAAATGTGTTTATGAAGCGATACATTTCACGGATGAACAGATGTTTATGACGGAATATGGGAAAGGAAGCCCGGGGCCGCGTGTCGGAGAGGGAGGAAAACGGGAAGAGTGGAGGCTGGAGAGGTATCATCCATTTTAACCCAGATCCAGGAAATACATGTTGTAACATGACAAACGAGGTTGATAAAAAGATAAAGGCCAATGAGGCTGCATGTCCTCACATTCAGGAGTTTATTGCAATTACAAATTAGGGCATTGTTCCCCAAGGAAAACAAAGATGTTTGGAGTGGACGGGGAACAAAGCTTGTGTGTACGTGCGCGAACAAGCGAGGGAGTATAATGGAAAAAGAGCGACTTCGAATGCAAGTCGGAGGCGAGGCCCTTCCGTGGCATCTAGTGCAACAACTCAAACTTGTTCTGAAATCAATCACTCGCTATTAATTCACCCAAATGAATGTAAACAACGATAAGAGAAGAACGCACTGCCACGAAATGGGCATCCTGACCTTCGGAGAGGCTAAATGTTGTTGTACGAACAGTTCAAAGGCCTGCTTGGCTTAGCTTCACTTCTGCTCTTTAATTTCTCTTCTCCATTCTGCTACCTCATTGACTAAGGACTGTAAATAAGTTACTGTGCAAAGTATTGTAAGTCAATCTATATACAACTTACAAATAACAAAATATAAAATCATCTAAACAAATTTTTTATTTGTTTGGCGCTCTAGCAGTTAATAAACAGAACTGCATGCGTCTTGTGGATGAACACTGTAGCCGAAGCTACTTCTCTCTGCTTATGTCTATGGCGAATCACGCAGGTACTGGGCTACTCTGCAGCGGTTCCTACCAGAAATATTGCGAATATAAAAACTTAAGTGTACCGTATTGATTCAGGACAAGCCAAAAACACGGTTTAGAAAATGGATTCATGATGTACTCGCTTATTATATAAATTTAGTAAATTTTGAACACAAAAAAAGTTATGGACTGCAGCTTGAACTCATAAAAATTTAATTAATAATAATAATATTATATATATATATATATATATATATATATATATACCGTAGTCAACATTTGAAGTGGATCAAAACCTTTCATTAAAGTTGTCCTAAAACCTAAAACCAAAATGCGTTCTTGCCTCAGGACAACTTTGATGAACTTTTTTGATCCACTTCAAAATAAAAAAATATATATATATATATATATATATATATATATATATATATATATATATATATATATATATACCGTAGTCAACATTTGAAGTGGATCAAAACCTTTCATTAAAGTTGTCCTAAAACCTAAAACCAAAATGCGTTCTTGCCTCAGGACAACTTTGATGAACTTTTTTGATCCACTTCAAACGTTGACTACTGTGTGTGTATATATATATATATATAAATAATATTGATATGTTTGCATTATGTATATTAATTATTAATATATTCAATAAATTAATCATTTATATATATTAATTATTTATTTTTAAGAATTATAAGATAATATAATATAAATTTATCTCTCTCTCTGTCTTTCTATCTATCTAAATATACTATACTTGAAATGCAAAAGGCTGAAATTTTCTTTTAAAATTAGCATTTTTATTAGGCTCCTATATTTTATGTTCAGTTACTTCACTTTAATGACAACAAAAAGGACCTATTCATTGCCAATAAATTGAAATGACTGAATATATATACAGTATATATATATATATATGGTCTCATAACGAGCTGCAGTTTGTACCATCTAGAATGCCACTGACAGACTTCATTCTTATATTGCAACAAAGAAATGTTTCTCTTGGGAGTTCAGTGATTGTGTACCTTCTCTTCTAAACAAAAAAAGAAAGAAATAAGGGCACAGAGGAACAAGAGGAAAAAAAAAAAAAAGAAAAAAAAAACTTTTGGGTTTGGTGAGGCATACAGATACTCACAGCTTTGACGAAGACCCCCATGAGCTCTGGAAACTGGTGTGTGAGCATGGCCAACATGGCACAGAAGGAGCACAGGCCTGCTGTGAAGAGGATGAAGAAAGGAAGCTCCTTCTTCGGATACACTGAGACCTCGTGAAATGCTGGAAGAAAAAGATAAAGACAGACAGACAGATTTATTTATCTTAAAAACAGGTCAATAAGTACCCTATTTTCTTCTTATTTTTAATTATTTTCAAACCAGTTGACTTTTAAAACTCTATCCTTGTGCAAAAGGTATGGTCACATTTAGCGTTGCTCAGGGACATTTCAGGGGCGAAAACCTGTTTTTCCAATAAGAATCTACACAATCTAGAGTTTGTAAAGCATGCAAAATAGTTCATCACACAGATTTCACTCGTGTTCAGGTTGTGAATTTGCCACACTGATTTTGTTTGAAAGTGACGTCTGTGTGAGCAGTGCTTCTTCTCTACACTATTGACAATGGGCTTTTTTTTGCACAATTTTTATTGAAATCACTCTAATGTGACAGCACTAGACATGTGCCGGTATTTGGTAATGCAATATATCACGATAATGAATATGCACAATATTGTTATCGTGGGCACTTCAAAATACAAAAAATAATTATTTATTACAAATTATTCAGAATTTTGAAGCAATGCAAATTATTTGCATTTTAAGAATACATTTCCCACCAACTGGTCACAATGCACAACACCGCTGTATGCTGCGTGAAAGACGCATGCGCACTCTGATGTAAACAAGCACGGATGAGAAGCGCATGGCGGAGCGCGTGAGAGACGATCTGAATGAAAGTGCACATTCACTCTCTGACAGCAGATGGCGCTGAACAGCAGAAATGCAGCTGTTACCTCGAAAACAAAGCAGCTGCGCTACTTTCTGTTTCTGAAACATATTTTAATGATTTAAATAGCCATTCAGATTTGTGTATTCGCTATGGTGTTCATCACAACGCCAAATACTGTACTACAACATGCCCTAGATATTGTTTGAGGGTGTTTTGATTCTTTATTGTTCGGTCACACTTTACATTAGGGCTTCATTAGTTAACATAAACTGCCAATGAAAAACTCTTCTAAACATTCATTAATCTTAGGTAATTCCAATATTTTACAGCATGTTAAAATCAAAAGTTGCAACTGTGTTATTTAATGAGCTAACATGAACTAAGAGTTGTGTTTTTTTAACAAAGATTTAACAAAGATTAATAACTTCTGTAGCAAATGTAGGTATTGTGAACGTTAAAGCTGCAGTCCGTAAGTTTTGCACGGTTAAGCACTCTGAAGTCCGATCTAGTGTTTTGAAAAGTTGCAAGTTGGAACCAGGTACAAAGAAAAAAATAGTTGATGAGGGCCAAAACATCATTAAAGAGCAAAAAGAAAATCAAAGGTGATACAACTTTCGCCCTAAACACAGTTTACGAAAATCTATGCACGGCAGTCATGGGTCGACAAGCCCACCTGCAATTATGTTCAATGTAAAACTGTGAACGATGCACTCCTGATGTGAATATTAGAAAGGTTTCTGTTTAGAGCAGAGGACAGCAGTGTGCTTCAACAGCATCACCTCCTGGTCATGACAATGTGTCTCTGCACTCAAGAATAACAGTGAGATAAAGTTGATGTGTGGGCAAGTAACTTAAAAAACTGCATTATACATCATGATACCCTAGTAAAAAATAAATATACTCAAATGTATTTGAAATATATTTCAATATACTACAAATAAAAATATCCTGCAATTGTACTATAAGTATACTAAACTGGTATGATTAAAGTCTGCTAAATTGGAACAAGTAATTTTGTACTTAAAGCACTTTATTTGTGCAGAAGAAGTGCTGAAGTCCAACTAAAGATATACTGAAGTATATTTGATTGTGCTAAAGTGGAACTGTTGAAAGTATGCTTCAGGTACACTTTAAATATCTTGCATGTAAAGATTGATATTATTGAAAGATCATACAATCCTCATCAAGTGACATTAAAACACATTTTAAGCTTAATATTAAAAAATGTGCATTGTGCATGAGTAGTATTCCAAATAAAGTTGAATTAGAATTTTTATATCAGTAAGTCTCGAGCGATGTCAGTAAATATGTTAATAGATTTGAACTATACTTAATATGAAATAAATGTATTTGAAATATAGTACTTTTTTACTAGGGTAAGATCACTTGAAACTGGTATTTTTTTTATTATTGGACATTAGCGAATCCAATCAAAATTTAGTATCAAAAATGTAGATAAAAAGTCAAAAGTTTTGATTTACTGTTGCAATTCCAGAACTCCATGTAGTGACATTAATAGCGATTGCATAAATGCAACTCCATATACACTATCGTTCAAAAGCTTCTTTTTTTTTCTCGAACTGATGCTTTTATTCAGCAAGGCTGCATTCAATTTATTAAAACTGACATTATTAAACGGATAGTTCCGGTCCTTGATTCTGATTGGCTGAGCCACGTTCAAAACTGTTGTAAAACTCTACAAACATACACCTTTGTTTACGTTTGCCTGCACAACTGTTTTCAACATGGATAATAATAATAATATTTGTTGATTAGCAAATCAGCATATTAGAATGATTTCTGAAGGATCATGTGACACTGAAGACTGGAGTAATGATGCTGAAAACTCAGCTTTGCATCACAGGAATACATTTTATTTTTAAATATATTAAAACTGAAAACAGTTATTTTAAATTGTAATCATATTTCACTATATTACTGTTTTAATGAAAAGACGCAGCCTTGGTAGGCATAAGAAACCTTCTTTACCAACATTAAAAGCAATCTTATTTACCCCAAATTTCTGAATAGTAGTGTATAAGACACACGAATTTTGGACCCTTTAAAAGAATCATTCGAACCTTTGGTACGTGTGGGTTGAACTCCACAGCTCTGTGTATGGCCTCTACTGCGTTCATCTCTGCTGTGCTGAGACCTCGTCTAGATGCTGCTTCAGGCGAAAACCTGCCATACAACACACATACAGATTCATTCAGCAAACTATCATCCATAAACATCACCTATGCTATGATATGCTATGCTATTCAATATTAGACATAACTGAAAATATTTTTTTTTTTTAATTTTCCAGGATGCTGAAGACTTACTTATCTGACACTGCTCTGGCTTTCAGTAAGGCAGATGTGTAGCATATAGTAGCTGATTTTGGCAAGCTGATATCTGAAAGGAGAAACATCAGACAGTTAATATAAAGGATACTAGCATCTCTTCCTGGTCCTCTATGAAATGTACAGTAACATGACAGCTGAATGAGCTTACCGTCATATTTTGCGAGGACTGCTTGTACATCAGCGTAGGCCTGCAGCTCTAATAATGCTTCTAAAAGGTTCTCGTGAATATTTAACATTCCCAGTAAGGGGAATTCTTTCATTAACTGTGCAAGGAAACAAGAAAATGACAATATTACACAACAGAGCATAATTCAAGTGCAAGATACCACTAAAATAAAATAAATTAAATAATGAAATGCAAAATAAATAAATAAAATAAAATGTGTCCAGTAGTATGTTACAATTCAAGTAAAGGCTGAGCTCCAACGTATTCATAAAAAATGTTAAGTGTTGAATTATTATGCCAGAAATTACTCTCTGATGATTACAGAACATTAATATTTTAGGCATAAAAAATGCTATATAAGAAACCAGATTTTTATATTTTTAAATCTATTGTTGTAATTCAAAGTTTCTCTTTCAGTTAATGTTTTTTAATGTACAGAATCATAAAGAAAATAGTAAGGTATGTTCAGGTAAATGTTGAATGTAAACTTGCCCTGAGGATATTCTATAGATGTGGAGTGACAACATGTTTTAGAGTCATGTGACCAGAGTTTTAACATTTTTTGTCAAACTGAATAGAGAAAGGCGGAATTCTTTTTATATCTGCACTAAAGTTACAGGAATGTTCAATCATGTTGTGGAAAACCACAGAAAATCATTTAGATCCTCAAAGATAAAAAACCTAAACCTAATTTACTGTAAAATAATTTCTATAAAAGTCTATGTGGCAAGGCATAAGCCCCATAAGATAATCACTAAAATACACACATTTTACAGCCACAACACCTAAACATCGTAAGTGGTATATTGCTTCGCTCACATCTCTCATCATCTTTACAGCTTCTTTGATGCGACCCAGTTTTCTTGCACACATGGCCAGTCTGCGCTTGATGTAGACCACAAGATTGGTGTCTTTACCGGCTGTGAAAGCAACGAGAATAAGCAACAGTGTGAGTTACTGTATGCTGGCTATATATGTGTGACAGTGTGAAAGTTTCATACCACTCTTAAGCGCTTGCTTGAAAAGCCGTTCAGCCTCTGTGATGGTTGTGGCTTCCTCCTCGGCCAGGAGCACATATGCTGCAGCACATCTGCAATGAATGAGTCATATGCTTGAGAGTCAGAAAAAGTCAATTTGATGCAAACATTAGAGATGCAATGATGATTAAATTCTGGCCGAAACAGAAAAGCCAGTAATTACTCCTATGTTATGATCAATAACCATACATGGCTTATAATACAATAAGATACTGTTATGTATTAAAATAATAAAAATAAAAATCATTTAAATAATAAAAATAGGCATCAACATTATAATGCACAGTGTGAAAAATGATTATATATTAATTTTGAAAATATTACATTTAATAGTGCTATGAAATTATTATTATGTGATTATTATGTGTTAAAATTAGCTTTAAGTGACAGAAAATGAGCATACATAATTAAATATCCAATACGATATGATAAAATAGATATAAATAGAATAAAAAAATAAAAAGAGAGTTAGAAAAACTAAAATCCATGTTCACATCTGGTTGAAACAGAAAGCCAGTAATTAAATAACGATACATGGCTTATATTACAACTTCATGCTGTTGTATATTTAAATAAATTCAAAATATAACATTACAAATTAAAACAGGTCATTTTAAAATGACAAGTTACAAGTGAATTTAGGCATCATCTTTATAATGCACATTATGAAAAATAAGATTGCATTTAACTGCGTTATTATGTTTTTAAATATTACTTTTAACTTAGCTTATCTATTTTCATTCTTTTTGTATTCTATTTGTTTTCTTTTTATTTATTATACAATTAACAAAAAGCAAAAAGGCCTCTAACACTAGCTTGCTCTATTCTTTTTCTATTCTGTCTGTTTTCTTTTTATTTATTTAATAATTAAAAACAAAACTTTTTTTTTTAAACCTTGCTACGTGTATTGCATTAGGCTAACTGAGACTTGTCAGAGCACTTGTATATCATTGCTCTTTTGTTGGTTTTGATTGCTTCCATTGTCCTCATTTGTAAGTCGCTTTGGATAAAAGCGTCTGCTAAATGACTAAATGTAAATGTAAGAGCATGCATAACTAATTATCTTATATTGACTGATTAAATAAAATTGAATAAAAATAAGCAAAATGGTACCAACATTTTATGCATCCCTCGTTCACGTATGTTTATGGCTGTTTAAATGGACCATTTCAGCTGCAAAGTCTGGCTGGATGAGCCACGTCTGAAGACGGTAAATTGAATAAAATCACAAGGATGTGTGGAACTCACTCGCGGTTCATTTCAATTGCCTGGTAAGCTGCTTGAATTCGTGCCTGCGGGTTCCTCTCCCTCCAGGCCTTCTGCATTACTGCAGAACAAACAAGAGAGATACCAATCATGATTAAACATCAATTCTGATTCAATTTAGGTATTTCTTTCAAGTGGAGGAGCATGAGACTAACCAGAGTCCTCTGGTCTAAGTTGCTGAGTGTCTCCCAAGAAGAAGGTCTGATGATCTTGGGCTGATAAATTCATGTCATAGTATGTCAGGGGCTCTTTTCCCGTCACCCAAGTGTACCTGGAATGAAAGGATCATGAATGAATATGATTTTTTTTAAATAATAGAATTCTGTCATATTTAAAAAATCTAATATTCAAATGAACCGAAACCTTCATACCTGCTGTACTCTGCACCTCTGAATAGGTTCAGTGGGTTCCTCCACACTTTACATTCTGAAAGAAAAAGAAAATAATAGCTGCACATTCCATTCACTTTATAATATTTAGAAAGATAAACATGTAGTAACTTTCAAAAACCTGCAACGTTGGTTCTCGGCTCGG